GGGGGGTGGGCGGGGTGGGGGCAATGGGGAAAAAGAGAGACGGCAACAAAAAAAGAGAGGGGGGTCCCCCCACCTCGGTTTAATTAAAAGCCTAACCCCGGTGCACGCTGGGATACAACCCCCCCCCCCAACCCAGAAGACCGAGCGAGGCGGAGTAGAGGGGCGGGTACCTCCGCGGTAACACGTAACCCGAGGTGGGACTTACCACGGGCGCGCCGGCCAATGGCGGCGCAGTATGCATATGACCCTGCTTGAAAGCAGGGCTCTCGGCCCCGCCTGCTCCAAGCAAAAGCAAAGAGGGGGGACTCTTTTGATCTCTCTCCCAAGAAACGAAGGAGGCGCCACTCCCCGAGGGGACCCCGAATCCCACCACCCCGAACGCTCCGGGCTCGCGGTGGGCTTTTATGCGCGCCGCATCCTGCCCGATCCGGGGTGGGGGGGCCCGGCCCTCCTGCCGAGGGAAGCTCGTGTTTGCACGGATTCTTTTGCACGGCCCTCTGGGGGAGCAGTCAGGGCTTCAAAACAGAAGAGGCGCCTGGCCAAATCAAAGCAGCGCCCCATCCATCACGGCCAGCTTCTGGACTTGTGCAGCGTCCAACAACTAATGCGCAGTGCAAATGGTGCTCAGCGCCCCCTTCCGATGCTGCCTCCCCGAAATCGCATTCTGAGGTACACTGCCTCTGAATATGGAAGTTCTCTCAGCTCACGAACACTATGAATTTCTCTGATCTCCTAAGCAATGCTTCCTCTAAGCTGTGGAGTCCTGTGAGCAAAAATTCTACTTTGTGAGCTACTGACATTACGACTTGTAAGCCGCCCTGAGCCTACGGGGAGGGCGGGATAGAAATACAAATAATAAATAAATAAATAAATAAAGTGGTGAGCCAGCGATTCAGCTGCTGCATAAATCAGTTTGCTTTGGAGCCATCCCTCCTCAGGGAAGACAAAAATGTGTGAGCCGGGGGCTAAAAAACTGTGAGCTAGCTCACACCAACTCAGCTTAGAGGGAACACTGCTAACCTATTCAAGCAAGCACTGCTAAATCCGGTGGCAGCTAAGTAAGAAGAATAGGTCGGAATTGTAGGGGAAGGTCAGGATCACGACACATCTTTATGCATGTGTGTGAGAGAGAGAGGATTCTGGGTTTCTCTGGAAAGGGAGAGGTAGGAGCAGCAGAAGGGAGGGAGCTTGGAAAGTCACTTGCACATTTTTACCCCATTCTTTAAGGATCCCAGGACGGCATACGCAGTTCCCGTCTGCATTTTAACCTTCACAACAATCCTAGGAGGTAGGCTAGATGGAATGCAACAAGTAGCCCATGTTGTGCTTAGTTTGACTGGAGTGTCTCCCCGCTCATACGCGGATCTGCACCGCCATGAGTCTCCTGGGCTCTATAAACAACGCGGACGCCTAGCGATAAAAGGGGCTTGCACACGTGCATTCTCCCTGCGTGCTTCACCCCTCCCGAGCAGGCAGATGTAAAGCCGCCAAATATGCCGACACGTGCGCCCTATTCTCCACGAGGCAGAAGTTTCGCTCCTGGCCGGGGTGCTCAGTTCAGTGACCCGCGTCACCGACTGAGCGCCCATTCCGCACGACTTGCTGCATCAGCAACAGAGCAAAGGTTAGCGACTGACCGAGAGGAGCAGAGGAAATATTTAACATAAGGTGGTTGTTTTTTAAAGCCTAAATTGCCAGGTAAAAGGTGGATTCTGTACCAAGCCGAGGAGGGCTGGTGATGCAGAGAGCCCCCCCCCCCCCCCCCCACAAAGAGACCCCCCCCCCCCCCCCCAACAAATCCTTTCCTGCCTCTTTGCGTCCTAATCTACCTAGGCGTAGTAAATCCCCACTGCAGCTCAGCTCTTTCTCCCTTGCAGGAACGCTTGTCGGCCCTCAGCGGTTTTAAGCCTCTAGTTCCGCATTTGGGGAACCTGGTAGGAGGCGAGCGATCGAGTCCAAGCTGTTCCCCTTACCTGGGCTGCCCCAGTCCCCTCTGGGACAGGCCCATACTCCATGGAAGTGTAGATAGCGTACACTGAAGGGGCCCCACGACTGCTTGGTGCTGCTGAGCCAGCCATGGACCCTGCCCCGCTCTCCTTTGACAAGCAGAACTCACCCGCCTGGAGGAAAACCCTCAGCCCGCCCACTCCAGGGCGACACTTCCGGCCTCCCAGCTACCATAGAGACCATCTGGTATCTCTCTTCTACTCGTTTAGAAAGTAACACTCAGTTTGAACTTCTGATAAAGCTGCGATTCGCCTCGATTCGTAGAATAGTGCCGTGCCGCTCTATTCCTCGTGGCCATCTCGCTGGTAGAACACTCTCTGTACTTTGCTCTGGACATTATAGTGGGAAACGGGTTCGATTTTAGAACGGGAGTCAAAGGGGCACGTTCCTTCCGACCTTCTCCAAACTATCGTGGAACACAATACGGAAAAGAACGCGGGAGCTGGATTTTTTTTGCTCACTTCCGACCTTCTTCTCGTTTAGATGAGGAATATGATCGAATGCACAGACGGCATGAAATCGTATTGCTAGAGAGCGGAATTGTGCGAACATCTGCTGTAAAGAGGCAACACGTGTTCACTTTACAAGTGAAACGGGACCGGTACATGAATGAATAAATCATGTTTAAATCGCATGTTCAGTTGTATATGGATTGGATGGAATATAACATGAGAATTGGATTCTCATGTAACATGAGTATATATAAAGAAAAATCAAGTGTACGCTGTGCACGGATTGTACATACGTTCACTATAATTCGTGAACAGGGCCATGATCTGTGATGTAACTGATTTTAAGACTGGGATGCAAGACGAACCCCATCTCCAGCGTTTGTGGAGACAATTTTTAATTCATCAAATTTTACGCTAATTTGTTTAGGATTAAGGAGACCGCGGATTTCTCTTCCACGCGTTACGTTTGCGCTGATCCATTTTTTATATGTGATGTGTTTTACATTTGAATATTTTTTCCTTTCTACCCAACTCTCGCTCCCATTCGCGCGCACACACACATGTGGGGGGGGGGGGGATTGTGTATCTGCCTAGGGTCCAAGACCAAGGTTCCCTCTAAGCTATGGAGTCCTGTGAGCAAAAATTCTACTTTGTGAGCTACTGGCATTAAAGTTGTGAGCGAGCGATTTGGCTCCTGCATAAATGAGTGTGCTCTGGAGCCATCCTTCCTGAGCGAAGGCAAAAATGTGTGAGCCGGAGGCTAAAAAGCTTTGAGCTAGCTCACACTAACTCATCTTAGAGGGAACACTGTGACCAAGACCCGAAAGAAAGATTATGCGGGAAAAAAGTAAAAGTCGGATCTGGCTGCTATCACACACGCTAAATAAGGGACGTCCTAAAACTAAGGACAGCGAGAGGTCATTCTGGCTCCCCCAGCTCTGTTAGGGGCTCTTTAAAAAGTCATGGCCCCGGCTGTTGGCAGCTGCAAGGGCCGCAGGGTGGGCGAAACCTTCCCCGCCTCCCTGAGTCGCGGTGAAATGTGTCGTCACTTCCTCTTTTCACACCGAAAGATAGCAAGTGGACGCTAGAGGTAATTTTTTTTCCGCTTCAGAAGGGAGGGGGGATTTAAAAACGGAAATTTTTTGTCTGAAGTAAGAGGGGTGTTTACAGGTGGGCGCCAGTGAAAGAGGTGCTCCTAAAAGAGGCAGGAAGGCGAGGGGGATAAAGCCAAGGGAAGTCTCTTTCTCTGTTCTTGTAGCATTTTTCCTTCTCCGCTTCTATGGCTAGGACAGCCGCGCACAGGGGTTGCTATAGCAATCCCGGAAGTTTGCGTTTCTGAAATCGGCCCGGTTGGTCAACCGGTCAAAATAAAGAAGCGGGAGAGGGCTGATTTCCACGTAGATCCGCGCAGGAGGACTGCGGGTGTAGGAGCGAGGTCAGTTGGAGGGGAGACGAAGGAAGCAGGGTGGTGGGGGGGGGGCTGATGTGTGGCTCATTTGTGGGAAGTGGGGAGTCCCGCATGAGGGTGAATATCAATGGGAAGTGTGTGCATACCGGGGTGGGGGTGGTAGTGGCTCAGTGGCTACTGGCTAGCATGCCTGGTTTGCATTCTGTAGTCCCAAAATGCAATCTCTGGCTGAAGAAGCTCAAGTAGCAGGTTTTGCTAAATGGACCATTCGTCTCACTCAGTGTCCTTCATGTGGGCAGTCTGGACTACAATGGGTGCCCGGGATTCCTACTGTTTCAGATTTTGGTTGGGTTAGTACCTTCTTTCCCTTCCTAGGAGTTTGTCATGATAATAGACAAACCTGTAGGTATCGGATTTCCTCCCCCTGCCAGATTTTATCAGCTCTAAATAGAGTTGCCAAATCTGGGTCGGGAAATGACTGGAGATGTTGGGGATGGAGCCTGGGGAGGGTGAGGTTTGGGTAGGGGAGGGAACACCGTGAGGTGTAATGTCATAGAGTCCACCCTCTAAAGTAGCCATTCTCTCCAGAGGAGCTGATCTCTGTGTCTGGAGATCAGTTGTAATTCCAGGAGATCCCCAGGCCTCAGCTGGAGGGTGGCATTTATTTATTTTTATTCATAAATTCTATAAATTAGGTTTCTAGACCGCCCTCCCCTGTAGAAACAGGCTCAGGGTGGTATACAACAATTAAAACACATACATAAATTAGTAAACAATTAAAACAGTAAAAGGAGCTGCGGTGGCTCAAGTGGTTAAGACGCTGAACTGCAGGCTGTGGAAGGTCGGTAGCTCAGCAGTTCGAGACCCGAGTGTGCCGCATGACGGAGTGAGCTCCCATCTCTAGTTCCAGCTCCTGCCAACCTAGCAGTTCGAAAGCAAGAAATTGCAAGTAGATAAATAGGGACCACTTCGGTGGGAAGGTAACAGCGTTCCGTGCGCCTTGGTGTTTAGTCATGCCGGCCACATGACCACGGAAACGTCTTCGGACAGCGCTGGCTCTTCGGCTTTGAAACAGAGATGAGCACCGCAACCCTAGAGTCGGATTCGACTGGCTTTCGAGCAAGGAAAACCTTTACCTTTACCTAAAACAGTAAAAACATATAAATTAAACATTTCTAAATGGTGCTAGCATGTCAGATTATGCCACTGCCTCATGGGGGAGGGGGCAAGAAACGGAGGTGCCAGGCGAGGTGGAAACTATCACTGTCCTCATCCAAAAGCCTGGTGGAACACCTCTGCCTTACAGGCCCTGTGGAACTGCATTAATTCCCGCAGGGCACGGATCTTATTCGGCAGAGAGTTCTGCTAGGTTGGAAGCAGGGCTGAAAAGGTCCTGGCTCTGGTTGAGGAGGACAGCTGGACATCTCTCGGGCAGGGGATCACCAGTAAATTGTTAGCTTTGTTGGATGTTAATATTCAGCAGTCAGATCATAAGGATCTAAGTGACAGCAGGCAAGCTGCTGACCGGTTCAGACCAGATAAGGTATGAGGTCAGTAAATCATGACTCAGCATGAAGCTGATTGGACACTCTGTATATATAAGTGGACAAGTACATGCTCTGTATCTTCTTCTCTTTGGATGTGGTGTTTGGCAGAGCAGTTTGTCAGTGGAGTGTATATATCGTAAATAAATCTGTATGTAGTTTGCCACAGGACTGTCTTGGTGTGGTGCTATATAGAACCTCCTCTGCAGTGAATGCTGGTGAGTGCTGGAGTGGCTGGAAAAGTCCTGGTGGCTGGTGGTGCTGGAAAGTTGCTTCAGACGCACTGCGCAACAAGCTTTAGGGAAAAAAATAGCTCTGGTAACCTTTAAAAACAACAGCAACAACAACAGAGCATTTGGCCAAAGTCTACAACTTCTGAATTCTGGATTTTCTGGGAAGTGAATGGGAACTTTAGAATAGAAAAGGGGAAAGGGTAGCAGTTCGCCCTGCATTCCTTCCTGACTCTCTGGGTCCAGCGTTCCATCTGAGTTAGTGTGAGCTAGCTCACAGTTTTTTTAACCTCCAGCTCACACATTTCTGTCCTAGCTCAGGAAGGCTGGCTCCAGAGCAAACTAGTTTATGTTGTCGCTCACAACTTTAATGCCAGGAGCTCACAAAGTAGATTTTTTTGCTCACAAGACTCCACAGCTTAGAGGGAACATTGTCTGGGTCTGCTGCCCTTTGCCTTAAGGACTGTGCTCTCCCCTGCCCTGTTTTTAATCCTTGTTTATGTCGTGGCCTCTGCAGGCTGCCTTGCCATGGCATCTGCCTCTGACAAGTCCTTGCTGTCCGCTGAGTTGCAAGAGGAGGAAGAAGAGGAGGAGTTCCGACGCCTTCTGCTCCAGGTGTGCAGTTGCCACTGCTCTCTTCTCCTTGGGGAGGTGGTTGGAAACCTCCATCAATCCAGCATCCATTTTGCAGCAGTGGCTAGGCAGGTGCCACAGGGAAGCCAACAGGCAGGGCTTGTGGGCAATAGCCTTTGTTTGCTGATTCCTCCCTAGCGCCTGACATTTGTCTCTAGAACGAAGCTGCCATGGCTAATAGCGAACGTTAGGCCTCTCCTCCGGAAATCTTTCCCACCCACTTCTGATCCCATGACCATCGCCACATCTTATGGCAGTGAGTTCCCCACATCAGCTGGGTTGTGGAGAAGTGGCACTTCTTTTGGTCTGCCTTGGGCCTACTGTCAATCCATTTCATAGGGTGATCCCAAGTTATCGTATTATGGGAGATGGAGAAATATCCCTCTCTCTTTCTCTGCGTTGTGCATAATTTTGTGGCTCTCTAGCATGTTACCTCCTTAATCTCCTTTTCTCTAAACTAAAATGCTCAACATGCCAGCCTTGTCCTTGCCTCGTAGGACAGGTGCTCTGACCCCACGATCCTTTTGGCTGTCCTTTTCTGCACTTTTTCCAGGCCTTCAACAACATTTTTGGAAATGCAGAAACCATAAGTGTATCCAGGGGTCATTTCGTAGAAAAAGAGGTGCAGGAGCTCATTAGCATAACTCATTTGCATATGCCACACCCCCTGACATCACCGGAAGTGTGTCAGAAGGTAACACCCACCGCTCAGGCTCCACTGGACTGTTTTGGATTGCTAGCTATGGGGGCGGGGGAGGAACGTGCAGATATGTCCTCGCAGAGGAGGGAGAGCTTATACCTGAATAAAACTTGGGTCTTAAAGGTGCCACTGGACTGTTTTGGACCGGGGGGGGGGGGCGGGGGGGCTCCGGAACTTCCCGTGCGTTGTGCATAATTTTGTGGCTGCTGGGAGCAGGGGGTGGGGCTTGTTACATGTGCCCGCCCCCTGGGCTCTTTACTGCCGGAGCTCCGCTTCTGTGCGCTCCTGCAGGAAATGACCCCTGAGTGTATCCAAAGTGTTCCAAATGAGGCTGCATCATGGACTTATACATGGGCTTTATACTATTCTAGCAGTTTTGTTCTCAGTTCCACTTTCGATGATTCCCTAGCATGGGTTTTTTTAAATCACTTTTTAAAATCACTGCTGCATGCTGAGTCAGTGTTTTCAGCGAGCCGTCTGCCTGATGTCTTTTTCTGGGTCTGTCGTTATCAATTCACCACCACATCAGTGCATCTTTGAAATTAGGATATTCCCCCGTAATGCACATCACTTTGCACTGACTTACATTGACTTTCACCTGCCGTTCATTGCCCAGTTTGGAGAGGACCTCTTGGAATTCACAGGATTGTTTGCAGGGATTGCAACAAGAGAATGCTCATGAATTGCTCTGAATGCCAGAAAGGGCCATGTACAGGTCAGCTGTCTGTGTTAAAATATAACCTGTACAGTACATTATAACAGCACTAATATTATTCCTAAGGACCCCCAATGAGGGTGGTGGTGACATTGTTGGGCTGTGATTTCCTTGTTGCTTGTAAATGGTTGCTGGTGGGGAGGGGAACTCCTAGTGAGAGGACATTGTGGCTTTAGGGTCTTGCAGGGAGAAGACTGGGAGGCAAGATGGACCTGCTGTGTTGTCTGGATTCTTCTGGCCGTAACAATGCTAGGGACTGACACATATATGGAAAGGGATGTGAATGGGATGGGAGTTCTAAGTCAATGTGATTGGGATTGTGTGATAAACCAATCAACGCTGTGTCTCCCTAGGCATCCCAGAAGATCCAGGGTGCAGTTCCCCCTCCAGTGGACTCCAAGCCTATCCGACCACTTCCAGGTGAAGAGCTTCAGACAGGGCAAAAGAACGGAGGGCTTGATGGGGGCGTCTGGGAGGAGGAGAGCACAGGGCTGGGTATTAGACCTGGTTTCTGTGCAGAGGCAAATACAGAGCAGAACAAGGAGGAGGTGGCCTGGCTAGGAAGAGGCCTAGCCCGGAAGTTCCTTAAGTGGCTGTCACCTGATCTGCTGTGGCCGATGCGTACAGGGAAGTTTCCTTCACTGGCATGGCTTGTCTTTCTGCAGTTCCATCTCTGGCCAGAGCTGGGTGGTGGCGCAAGAGGGCAAATCCTTGCCTGGCATCCCCAAAGGCCTCCCTGGAAGGTCTGAGTCCCGCCCTCAAATATTTTGGCTCAGTGGAGCAACTTCCGTCCAGGACTGCCTGACAGTATTACGCTTGCGCCTGTCCTCTCCAGGGTTCTGCCTCAAAACCCACACCGATGCAGGCGAGAAGATCTTTGTCAACATCTGCAGGTCCCCTCACATCCCACCGCCTCCCGACCTGACCAATGAAGAGCTCGAGTGCCTCATTGAGTCGGAGAACGCCTCCAACTTCCGGATCCCCATGACCCTGGGCGAGCCCCACGGAGAAGTCGACAAGAGTGAGTGTTCAGGGCCTGTCGCTGGTGGCATTAATGGAGGAAGTGGCTGTGGGGAGGTGAAAGTGAGATGGGGGACTGAAGCATGGCAGGAACGCACAGGAACGGAGTTCCGGCTGGCTCCCAAGTTGGCCACGCCCAGCAGGAACTCATTAGCATAATAGGCCACACCCAACAGCAGAAACTCATTAGGATTGGCTACATTAGGGGTGTGTGGCCTAACATGCAAAGGAGTTCCTGCTACAAAAAAAGCTCTGGGTTTTGACCACAAACAAGGTCAACAGAATAAGAAGCAAAAGGTGGGCGTGGCTGGATGACCACACTTCTGGTAACATGGGGTGCGGCCTAATATGCTAATGAGCTGTGCTGTCAGGGCTGTGGCCTAATATGCTAATGCATTTCTGCTGTTGGGTGTGGCCTATTATGCTAATGAGTTCCTGCCTGCTGGGCTTTTTCTACAAAAAGAGCCCTGACTGCATGGTTGATAACTTTTGTAATCTGTGGGGTGGGATTTTTGGGCATCCTGGTCATCTGCCCTCCGTTCTAGTTTTGCTCAGGTAACGCTGAGTGTATTCCACACGCCACAGAAAGGGGAGAGCAGTTTCCGGGGGTGGGGGGTGGGTCCTCTTGAAAAAAACAAACCCAAAAACCAGTTTGTAGCCATCATGGTTGGAGAGACGAATTTGAAAATGTGTGGAACACACCCTGACCTGGGTAGCCCAGGCAAGCCCGATCTCGTCAGATCTCGGAAGCTAAGCAGGGTCTGATCTGGCAGGTCCTTGGATGGGAGACCTCCTTGGAATACCAGCAGTTGGGAGGCGGGGGCAGGCTTTATTCAGCCACCTCTCTGAATATCCTCCAGGGCCCCAGTAGGGGTCAGTCACCAGAGGTCGCCATGACTTCCAGGTGCACACATATTAAAAAAATGGGGGAAAGCAGCATGAAATCAGCAGTTTTCGAGACATGTGCTTCTCCAGTGAGATGGCAAAACATGGACCGATCACTTGAAGGACAGCTCTGTGGCCCAGCCCTGCTTGTGGGCTTTAGGAACCGGTTGCCTTGTCTTCAGGATCAGCCTGACTCCTCCTCTTCTTCCTCCCTCCCTCCCAGGCGGTCACGGCTGCACTGCATACGATGTCACCGTCAGCACCGACTTCTTCACCAGGGTGGAGGTGAGTGTCTCTCTGCATGGTGGACCCTCTGAGCTGGTCCTTCCACTTTTTTGGGAGCACTTGCTGCTCAGCAGGGTGAGGAGGCAGGAGGAACAGCATTCAACCCTGGGCAAGATGCTGGTGGACCTCCTGATGGCACCTGGTATTTTTGGCCACTGTGTGACACAGAGTGTTGGACCAGATGGGCCATTGGCCTGATCCAACATTGGCTTCTCTTATGTTCTTATGTTCACCGCTGTCCTGCTCATGGCTGATATTTTGAGTCCACTGGAAGTTGGATTTGGACCTCAGCACAAGGGATTGATTAGGGGTGATTAGTGGGGTTGAGCACTGGTGATGATGTGCCCTCAACCACTTAGCTGACCGCTTGAATATTCTCCTCCCCCCCGCCACCCCATTCCCCAGCCAGCTCTGACATATGCACGCTCACTCGGTGTGGGAGCTCTTCCTCATGCTGAAGAGCCAGATTCGAGTCCAGTAGCACTTTTGAGACCAGCTAGAGGTTGGGGGTATGAGCTTTTGAGAGCAGGTCCCTCTGTCAGAGAACTTTGACTCTCTAAAACTTACACCCTGGAGATCTTGTTAGACTCAAGTCTAGCTCTTCTATTGCAGGCGGACGTGGCTGCCCTCCGGAACAGTCTTCCCCATGTTGTGGTCTAGGGATCCTGGGGAAGGCGTGTCAATTAAGCCCAGGGGAGGTTTCCTCCTAGTAGTTGCTTGTCTAAGGAGCAACAGTGAAACTGAAAGTTGTTATCGGAAGAAGAACAAACAGATAACAAAAAATATCCAAAGCAAAGAGGGAAATCCCCCAAAATATATATAATAAAAGGAGGCTTCCGATTCTCTCTGTGACAAATATAAGTTTGATTGCAAATTTTTTTCTTACTCTTGATTTACCATTAAAAACTCTCTTTTTTCTATTAATCTAAATTCCTTATTCACCAGACCCGCAGATCATCAAGTCATTATTGTCTGTTTCATGCAAAAGATCTGTAAGGGGTTTCCAATCAGGAATAAATGAGCTAGTTGTTTTTTCTCTAATCTAATCTATGAAGTTTAGAGAAAGGAAAAAAAATCTATGAAGTAGGGGCTGCGGTGGCTCAAGTAGTTAAGATGCTGAATTGCAGGCTGTGGAAGGTCAGTAGTTCAGCAGTTCGAGACCTGGGTGCCGCATGATGGAGTGAGCTCCCGTCTCTAGTTCCAGCTCCTGCCAACCTAGCAGTTCGAAAGCAAGAAATTGCAAGTAGATAAATAGGTACCACTTCGGTGGGAAGGTAACAGCATTCCGTGCGCCTTGATGTTTAGTCATGCCGGCCACATGACCACGGAAACGTCTTCGGACAGCGCTGGCTCTTCGGCTTTGAAACGGAGATGAGCACCGCAACCCTAGAGTCGGATTCGACTGGCTTTCGAGCAAGGGAAACCTTTACCTTTACCTTTAATCTATGACGTAAGCTTAGCCATCGCTGCAAGTTCCAGCACCTTCTCCAACCATTCCTCTATTGTAGGCAATGTCAAACCCTTCCATTGTTGTGCTTATAATAATCTCGCTGCCTCTAATGAGCACTGGTGTAACAGGATATGAAGTTGCCTTCTGCGGAGTCTGGCTGGTCCAGAGTCGTCCGCATTGCCTGGCGGTGGCTTTCTTTCTGTCATCGCATCCCAGGGTCTTTCCAGCTGGAGAGGCTGGGGGTTGCTGCAGGACCTTGTCTATGCACAGCCGCCGACTGATGGGGCCCTTCCCACCCAGGGCATCGGCCCCATCCATGCCGCTGTTGGACTCTCTTGTCTTTTCATGCACACTCTGACCCTTCCCACCAGCATGGGATCACCCCCCGGAGGGAAGAGGCCCCTCTGCTAGCGTCCGCACGGTTAGGAACTCAGTGCCTCCTCTTTTTTCCCCTCTCTCCCTCTTTCAAGAGCAACCACTTCCTCAGGGAGTTCTTCATCACAGTTGTTTTGGAGGGATTGTCAGAGAAATACAAGATGGAGATCAGCCGCGCAGGTATGGGAAGTCGGCGTTGCTCCGGGAAGCCAGTTCCTCTCTCTCGGGAGCCCCTCCTGAGCTTCCGCTGTTGCGACCCCGGAGGGATGCCCGGGCGCAGAAATGGCCACAGCCTGGCTCTGGCAGCACAAGCGGCATGCTTCCTCCTCATCGGACCTGGCTGCAGCCCTTGTGCCTTAGAATGAAACGCTGGAACTGAACTCACTGTGCTGTCTCCTGTGCGTCACCTTCCAGAATGGCGCGTCCTGAAGAACAGGAAGTTCATGGGTTCCGTATCAGAGCAAACCATCCGCACAAAATCCAGACCCTTCATACAGGAGATGGACAGCAGGTATGCCGAGAGCTCCCTTTTAACCTCCACTCCCCTTCCTGTATTGTTAGAGGCACTCTGATTATCTGATGGTCTGTCGTTTGACAGTGCTGGACTTCATCAGCCCTTGTATGAGAAATAGGTGTGCAGGAATCCATCATGCTTATCAGTCAAGGAGATCTAAAACACTCAAGCGCTCAACTGATAAGATTTCCTCTTTTGGTAATGACTGGGGGTGGGAGGAGGACACTTGGATTAGGGTCACTTCTTGGCCTGCATCTAAGTGGTCATTTCTGTGGAGGATGAGACACAAACTCCCATCAATGCAGTCCCTGTTTTAAGCGTGCAGTCCTTCACGCAGCCAAAGACAGATGCTTAAGGTGGGAAGAAATTGATCCAGAGCTGAGAAGGAATCGTGCGGCCATCTTCAGTTGGGCGCTCTCAGTGGGGTTTACGTGTTGGGGAGAAGACGAAGAAGAAGAGAAGAGATTGGATTTATACCCCGCCCTTCACAACCCAAAGGTGTCTCAGAGCAGCTTACAAACTCCTTTCCCTTCCCCTCCCCACAACAGACACCCTGTGAGGTGGGTGGGGCTGAGAGAGCTCTGACACGAACTGCTCTTTTTCAAGGACAGTTCTTATCAGAACTATGGCTTGCCCAAGGTCATCCAGCCAGGTGCAAGTGGAGGAGTGGGGAATCAAACCCGGTTCTCCCAGATTAGAGTCCGTGCACTTAACCACTACACCAAACTGGCTCAGAAGACTGTCTTATGAAAACGGAAGCTAGACTGCAAGTCCTCATCTCCCTGAATACCTTTTTCTGGAACGGGGGTTAAACTAGGAGGGGGTCCTGATCCTTGCACATCTTGAACCCACGTTGGTGAAATTCCTAGAAGCTTTTCTGCAGGCCAAACAAATCAACCCGAAGCTGTGTGAATGGGCCCAGCAGAGGATTACACATTCTGGGCTGGGAGGTTTAGAGGCAGGACTGGACCTCCTCATTGAAGGCTGTGGATGGCTTTCATAGCCCATCAGAGTGCCTGCTTTGGTGTGGGATGGTACAACAGAATCTCTGCACACCTGACTCCCAGTGCTTGTGAGGGTTGGATGTGCTATGAACTAGGAAGGGTGAGAGCTGGGGGCCCAGAGGAATCTACATGTGTGAGTGGGTGAGGGGTAAAGGTAAAGGTTCCCCTTGCTTGAAAGCCAGTCGAATCCAACTCTAGGGTTGCGCTGGTCATCTCTGTTTTAAGCCAGAGAGCCAACGCTGTCTAAATACTTTTCCGTGGTCATGTGGCCGGCATGACTAAACACCGAAGCACACAGAATGCTGTTATCTTCCCACCGAAGTGGTACCTATTTATCTACTTTCAATTTCTTGCTTTCAAACTGCTAGGTTGGCAGGAGCTGGGGCCAGAGATGGGAGCTCACTCCGCCAGGCAGCACTCGGGTCTCGAACTGCCGAACTACAGACCTTCCGGTCTGCATCTCAGCATCTTACCCTCTGAGCCAACGTGGGAGAGGGTGTCAAATGGGAATCCCAGCCTCCGAGTCGTTTGGGAGCATTTTCCATTAGAGGGCTAAAGGGAGGACAGAGGGACTGGGGGGGGAGGGGGGTCGAACCCTAATCCTGAGATGCACCAGTGGGGACAGCCCCCCTCCCCGTCTTGACACAACAGCAGCGGAGCCAGGAGTCAGACCGGAAAAGGCCACTGATTCAGCAGCATTGGGGAGTGGCGTCAGGGTTGCTGATGCAGTTTTTTAACCATATTGGTTTTACAACTTATGCAACTGTTTGCTTTTCTGCAGTCAAACCCAGGAGACAACCAGTAAGCTTCTGCAGCCCCTTTATTCACAGAGGTATGTTGGGGTTGAGACGGGAGGAGGCACGTGGTAGGGATGGAGGGGGTTGGGTCGAGGAGGGGGAGGGGACAGAATGACTTGTTCCATTGTCAGGACCGTGAGCTTGGCTCCCTTTCTTCCCCCCACCCCGTCCTTCCAACTGTGTCAGGTGGGTTCAGCTGACAGGTGGCGATTGGCTCGAGGTCACCCCGAGAGCTTCCAGGCTGGGTCGGTATGGAGCTCTGGTCTCTTTGGTGTGAATCCAGCTCTTTTCCCATCCTGTCACTGGGTCTCTCCCAGGATGGAGGCTTTCTCAAAATCAAGAATGTAAGAAGAGCCCTGCTGGATCGGACTCGTGGTCCATCCAGTCCAGCATCCTGTCTCACACGGTGGCCAGCCAGTTCCCCCGGAGGGCCAACAATAGGAGCCGAGGCCTTCCCCTGATGTTTCCTCCTGGCTTTGGGATTCAGAGGTTTACTGCCTCTCAATGAGGGAGCTCCCTTTAGTCACCATGGCTGGTAGCCATTGATAGACTTATCATGAATCTGTCTAATCCCCTTTTAAAGCTGCCTGTGCCTGTGGCCGTCGCTGCATCCTCCGGCAGCAGTTCCACATTTTAATCACTCTCTGAGTGAAGAAGTATTTCTTTTTGTCTGTCCTGAACCTACTGCCCATCAGCTTAATTGGATGCCCTCGAGTTCTAGTATTTTGGGAGAGGGAGAAAAATGTCTCTTTGTCAACTCTCTCCACCCCGTGCATAATTTTATAAACTTCTTATCATGTCCCCCTTTAGTTGTCTCTTTTCTAAACTGAAGAGTTCCAGACTCTTCTGCCTTTCTTTATAGGGGAGGTGTTCCAACTCCCTAATCATCTTGAGTGCCCTTCAAGGCAGGGTTGGGCACCCTAAGTTGCCTCCGAGACAGGGTTGGGCACCCCAGTGGTCTTTTCTACATATTCTTTCTCCAGCTCTTCCTTTTGCACTTGAGGCTTGCAAAAAAACGACCTGGCAGCCTTTGACAGCCCTGAACATCCTGAGCCCTGCATGGCCAAAAGGGACCCCTTCCGCCCTTCTAGCCCACTGCAGTTTGGGGAACGTAATTCCTGGTCAGTCTCTCTCTGTGTGTGCCGGATGAGATGCAGAGAAGTCCTCTTGATGGGCTGCCCCGCATCTCGGGAATTTTCTCCTCCCAAAGACTCTTCTTCCCAAAGAAGCACAAGCTACTATTATTCAAACTGGGTTTTTAGTGGCCAGGGATAACATAGACTAATTGGCGTGTTGCATATCGTAAAAAGGTAAAGGTTTCCCTGGCTCAAAAGCCAGTCGAATCCAACTCTAGGGGGCGGTGCTCATCTCCGTTTCCAAGACGAAGAGCCAGTGTTGTCTGAAGACTTCTCCATGGTCATGTGGCCAGCATGACTAAACGCCGAGGCGCACGGGACACCATCACTTTCCCACCAAAGCTATACCTATTTACAGGGGGGGGTTTGTAGAAAAAGCCCAGCGGGAACTCATTAGCATAATAGGCCACACCCTGACAGGGCAGCTCATTAGCCTATTAGGCCACACCCCCATGCCTTCCCTTGGCTTGCCTGGGTGCTCTGCGACGGCAAGGAGCCCAGGCAAGCCGGCCCTTGGACAGGCTGGAGAAGGCACAGGGAGGGGCATTTAAATGCCCCCCCGATCCTCCCAGGCCCCCCCCTGGCCCCCCCGCCTGCCTCGGAGTCGCCGGGGGGGGGTTGTCGCTCTCCAGGCCTTCCCTCTGTAGCCACGCACCCAAAGGTTTTGGCTGTAGTGGGCGTGGCAAACTCTGAAGCCAGCCGGAACTCCGTTCCTTTGCGTTCCTGCCCAAAAATAGCCCTGCCTATTTATCTCCTTGCAATTTCTTGCTTTCGAACTGGAGCTGGGGGCCAGAGCTCAGAATGCACAGGCCTGTCATGTGCCAGGGTGAATGGTTTGCACCGATTTCTGACCTGGCCCTTAATCCTGGGCAAGTTGTCGACTGCTGTTTGTATGAGTTAGTAAAAAGAATTCCAGACAGCAGCATACATTGACTGGATATGACCCCCCACCCCCCCCGGAGATTCCTTCTCTGCAGCCTGCAGGTCTGATGTGTCTTGCTTTCTTTTTTCAGTTCTGCCACAGTTCCCGACTTTGCCATTGTCGCCCAGCCCTCACGCAGCCACCCTGAACGTCTCGTCCTGAAAGTCGGCCTCCCTAAAACGGTAACTCAGTCCCGGATTCAGGAGGAAGTGTTGTGATTTATGGGAAGGGTGCGCAAGTAGCCTCATCCCAGCAGGTGGCGCCGCAGCACACTGCATGCCTCCCTCTGGTTTTGCTTTCCAGAACTCGGTGAGGTCCCTCGACCTGGACCTGGGAGAAGATCGGATCGTACTACAGGACCACCCTGGCCTGTACCACCTGGACATCTTCATTCCTTACAGCATCGTCCCTGAGGAAAGCAAGGCCCAGTTTCACAAAAGAACCAAGGTGAGCGAGAAAGAGCCCCCTCTCCCTTTGCAAGCTGCAACCGTGGCCGTTTTCTACCCAGCATAAGAACTGAGGTTGGTTTGAAAATATTTTGCGGAAGTGTCCCCTCCTCTTCTGAATCGGTACTCTTTGGAGGGGGAGCTCACACTGTCCCCTGTCCGCTGACCCTGGTCCACCAGCCAGCCCTCCTTCTTGCCCCTTAGCTCGGGACCAAAAGGGAAGGACTCTTGTTGCCCGCCACCTGGGTCCTCCTCCGGCCAACTGCTGCCCTGCCGTGCCTGGAGCGAGTGGCCAGGCGCATCCTCATTGGCTGCTTTCCAGGCCTTCTTAAAGGTAGCCAAGCAAGCTGCCGGAGACTGAGAGAGCCCGTGTCTCCCACAAGACTTCCTGTTCTGGTGAGAAGTCAGGCTCTCCCCTGGTCCATGTTCTGCTGCCCCCCCCCCCCGCCTTCCATCCTCCGCTGCCACTCAGCTTTTGAGGCAGCGAAGCCTCAATGGTCTCCGCCAGCAAAGAGAACTGTCCAGAGCAGCCAGGGCCCTGGGGATGCCAGCCTCCAGGTGGGACCTGGGGATCATGTCCAGACTGCAGAGATCAGAGTCCCCCTGGAGAAAATGGATGCTTTGGAGGGTGGACTCTGTGGCCTTGTGCCCCACTGAGCTCCTTCTCCGTCCCCCCCCCCCAGGCTCCATCCCCAAATCTCCAGGAGTTTCTCATCCTGGATCTGGCAGCTCTACCCCTCTCCCGCCAGTGGCTGGTAGGTAACTGGCTACCCAACACAGCCCAGGGGTGGGTGAGTCCCCATCCCAGCACACACCAGGCATGATTTAAACTGGTAGTGCACCATGGGTCCTCTATTTGCTTTTGGGCATCTGCCACGTTAACCGTTAGCAATCCAAATGCTGCAGCCTGTCTACCCCAGATTTCAGTCCCAGGCCTTTTGACAAGAATGGAGGGACCGAAATCCCAGGACAATGTCATCACAAGGCCTGCAAAAATTGTGCTAACAGTCAACCAGCCATCGTAGTTAACAGTAAAAGAGGGGGGGGGCGGAATCAGTGACTGAAATGGGAAAATAAAACATTCTTAACTTGGTGCTTGAGTTTCAGTTCCACAGGAACTGGGGGAACATCTTCGGGGAAAGGTTTTTATGGTTAGGGGGCCACCACTGAAAAGGCCCCCACACTGCCAAAGACCTTCATCGGGATCTGGGACGTAGCTTTGGCGTGTCCTTAATGCATAGCTGGCAAGCCGTTTGCTCGGCCCCGTGCAACTCGACGGAGAGGAAATCCTTGCCCTCTCTGGCACTGCAGGGGGTGCTCTAGCCTCAAACAACCCCCCAACTCCCTTGGTGTTTTTTGTCCTCCTGCAGATCCTCACCGTGGCGATGCCCATCCAACGCCCCTCTCCGCTGTTGTCGGCGACAAGCAGTCAATCTGGCAGTGCAATCATCTCAGAGGCCGGAGCGCCCGTGTGAGCACACCACCCAAGAAACTCCTGGCCCCAGGGAGGATGCAGCGGCAGGCCATGCGGAATGGAGGCTGAGGAGCTTGCAGCTTCTGCAGCCGGCACGGTGCTGGGCCAGGGGGAGAAGTGGGACACTTCTCTCTCTCTCTCTCTCCCCCCCCCCCCTCTCTCTCTCCCTCTCCCTCCCTCCCTCCAGCAGGCTGACTCTGTGCCCAGCTACATACAGTAAAGCACGTTGGACGGGATCCAGAGTGTGTCTCTTTCTCTCCTCCCACGACGTGTGTTCTTGACTTCCCTGGCAGCTGTCGGTGTTCCTCATAGGTCTCTCTTTCAGCACCTCCCCACCCCCACCCCCCGCATCCTTATCTGCCCATGCGTGTGCATTTCTGCAGGCAGTCGGACCTCTTGGGCTGACTGGGGCTGGCGCTTTCCCCTCGCAGGGAGCCCGGCTCCATTCCCCCCTGTGCCCATCGCCTTGTGAAGGGAAGGAGGCCCTCCTGTGCCGATCTAAAAAGAACTGGCTGGATGGGAGACACTGGACCTGACCCTCTTCAGGCGGCTGCTGGAGCATCACGTTTTTCTGAAGGCTTCCTTTTTTTAGAATCCTTCCTGCAAGTCGACCGGAGTGGAGTCTTTCTCCCTTGGGAGGGTCTTGGCGGGGAACATCCCAAACTGCCGCCTGCGGTCTCCAGTGGTGCAGTCTGTTGTGTCCCCCCATTCGGAAGCCCTCTTTGCCCGCCCTGGCCCCTCCTCCGCCAGCACCTTTCATCGGGGCTCAGCCATGGTTTCCTTTTTCCCCTGGTACGCTGCAGCCGTCTCTGCCCCTCCTCAGCGCCAGGCAGGCTGCCGGTGGCTTTTCCCACCACTGACAGTGGGGTTCTTTCAGCCCCTGTCCTGAACTGTGTAGGCTTTAAATGGAAACCTTTGCAAGGAGTTACGGGGGCCGCCGCGTAGAACCATCATTACCTTATGACTCCAGCCAAAGTCCTGCCCTGCAGCCTCCTTACCATTAGGGGGACAGTGTGGTGTAGTGGTTAAGAGAGATGGACTCTCGCCTGGAGAACTGGGTTCGATTCTGCCCTCCTCCACTTGAAGGAAAGTTGGGTGACCTTGGGTCAGTCACAGCTCTCACAGTCCCCCCCGCCCCTCCCCAATAAGCCTTCCTCGCCACATAACTCTTAAAAAGAGCTAGAGCTTCAGGCTGCCAGACCATCCTAGGATCTCCTGGCTCTACCACGGGCAATGCCATACAACAATTTAATTTTTTTAATTTAGCCAAACCATTAAAATCCAGCTTTGTCCTGATTCTAGCTGTGTGTGCTCACTCTCCTTGAGGTGGCATTGGTCCTCCCTCCCTCCCTCCTGGTTGGGCCTCTTCTGGGATGGTGCGAAAGACGGGGAGGGACTGTGGCTCAGTGGAAGAGCCTCTTCTTTGCATGCAGAAGGTCTCCGGTTCAATCCCCGGCACCTCTAGTTAAAGGTATACAAACTTCCCAAAATACAGTAACATTTATTTCCTAAACATTGTGTCTAACAGATGATGGACGAAAATCTCCGGAGTAGAAGTTTCGTTTCGTGGAGGATTACCTTATGATTTTGCACTATGGTCGGTTAGACATCCGAAACGAATACGACAAATGCTTTGTGAATGGAGAGTCAACTTGGAATGTTTGTGACTTCTGAAGAGCACTTCTTTATGAATCTGTGATGTCGGAAGAAGTCTCCACGAAACGAAACTCCTACTCCGGAGATTTGCGTCCATCATCTGTTAGACACAATGTTTAGGAAATAAATGTTACTGTATTCTTGGAATTTTGTATACATTTAGGACAAGTTATCATTATTACAAATTGTTACTTGCACTATTGCAGTAGTTTTGTTCGTTTTGGCTTAATCCTACTGCTACCCCTTATTCCATTTGCACCTCTAGTTAAAGGACCAGGCAGCAGGTGATGTGAAAGACCCGAGACCCCGGAGAGCTGCTGCCAGTCTGAGTAGACGACACTGACATTGCTGGACCTAGGGTTGGATTCAGTAGAAGGCAGCTTCGCGTGCGTGGGCTATATCCCTATATTTGATTGCAGGGGTGGGTGTGGGGGGCAGTTTTGGTATGTTGTATCCAAAACCCTTTGCCATTTTCCTTAGTCCTCACCTTCATTTGCTTGAAGTAGGTCGTTGTGAAAGATTTTCACAACGCGTAATCTAGAAACTGTCCTCCTGGGGAAAGGAACAAACGTTTATTTACTTTAGAAGAAGAAGAAGAGATTGGATTTATGCCCTGCCCTTCACTACCCAAAGGTGTCTCAGAGCGGCTTACAGACTCCTTTCCCTTCCCCTCCCCACAACAGACACCCTGGGAGGTGGGTGGGGTTGGGAGAGCTCTTGACAGAGACTGCTCTTTTTCAAGGACAGCTCTTATCAGAGCTATGGCTTGCCCAAGGTCATCCAGCCAGGCACAAGTGGAGGAGTGGGGAATCAAACCCGGTTCTCGCAGATTAGAGTCCGCACACTTAACCACTACACCAAACTGGCTCTTTATTTACTTCCTTTATTTATATCCCACCTTTCACCCCCAGCAGGGACCCAAAAGCGGCTTACATCGTTCTTCCCTTTTATCCTCACAACAACCCTGAGAGGTAGGCTAGGCTGAGTGTGGGGGACTGGCTCAAGGTCACCCAGCAGGCCTCCCTGGCACGAGTGGGGATTCAAACCCGGATTCCCCCAGATCCCAGTTCGACACTTTAGCCACTAGGCCACCCTGGCGTTTCTAACCTCTCCTGCTTCTCCAGAGAAATCTGCAATGCGGCTTAGAAATCAAAGGGAGCTTTGGGGCAACGCTTCTGTGGGGCGAAGAAGAGGTACGTTCCTTCCTTGAGCTGGTTCTTGCCCTCTGCTGAGATGTCCCAGGCTCCGGCTGGGCTGTCGTTTCTGCAAAGGTGTCAAGAGTAACTCCCTGTGACCCACCAGGGGTGAGGCTGGACAAACTGAATCTGCTCCGCCTCTCCCGCCCACGTTTCCCCACCTACGACCTGGACAGATCTTGCGGGAAGGAATCCAGAGCCGGCGCACCCAGCCTTGTCAGAAATTTTTGCACCATCTTATTTGTTCTCCTGGGATTTTGACGGGGAGGAGTGAGTGATGCCCCTTTCCTGAAGAAGGCGGGGGAGGACGGTGCTGCTTTTCTCGTGGAAGGGGGGTGGCTGAGCTGCCGCGAGGCCGGCTTGCTTCAGAGTTCTGGCCGTCTTCCAAAAATGTCACCATTTCCTCGCATGTGGATTTTGAACGAATTGGATGCCGACTGTGTCCTGCCCTGGCAGTCCGGGTTTGTATTGTGACTGTTGTTAGGCAAAGGTAAAGGTTCCCTTGCTCGAAAGCCAGTCGAGTCCGACTCTAGGGTTGCGGTGCTCATCTCCCTTTCCCAGCCGAAGAGCCAGCGCTGTCCGAAGACATTTCCGTGGCTACGTGGCCGGCATGACTAGACACCAAGGCGCACGGAACGCTGTTACTTTCCCACCAAAGCGGTACCTGTTTATCTACTCGCAATTTCTTGCTTTCGAACTGCTAGGTTGGCAGGAGTTGGAACCAGAGACGGGAGCTCACTCCGTCATGCGGCACACTCGGGTCTCGAACTGCTGAACTACCGACCTTCCACAGCCTGCAGTTCAGCGTCTTAACCACTTGAGCCACCGCAGCTCCGTGACTATTAGTGCATTTTAAATCCCTGGTGACGCCTGGTATCTTTGGCCACTGTGTGACAGAATGGATGGGCCATTGGCCTGATCCAGCACTGGCTTCTCTTCTGCTCTTATGGTCCTCCGAAGAGGCCACGGCAGCTTACATCTCCCTTCTCTCTATTTTATCCTCAGAACAACCCTGCAAGGGAGGTTGGGCTGCGAGGCACTAACTGCCTCAAGCTGATGGGGTAAATGAAGAGGTCATGAAAGTAAGTTTCATGGGAAACGGGGATTTGAACTCGGGCCACCCTAGTCCTAGGCCAGAATTTGAGCCTCCCTGGGATGAGAGGTGGAAAGCATTTGTCCAGCCAAGTGGGCTTGGAACAGACATGCCTCCATATGGAAGACAATTGTGCTCGAGTCCCCCAAACCCATTTCTGCGGTCAGACATCGGGTTGCTTTGGAGTCCTCCCAGCCGGTCTGCCAATCAGCCCTCCACCCACTTCTACGGTTACCCCAATGAGCATGAGCGGCTGCCTTCCCGGGAGTCAGACCAACGTTCCCCCGAGAGGAGTGTTGTCTCCTCTTACGCACGGTGCTCTCCAGGGTTTCCAGAACCGGGTCTTTTCCTGGCTCAGCTACTTCTGAGACTGGGGATGCTCCGGCCATTCAGCTGCAGGCTCTTCTCGCCGTCCTTCTCTTTGTTAATTTTAAACCGGCAAGTTCCTACTTCTGTTCCTCTTGTGCGTGTGCACACACACATGTACAGGCACAAGCTCTTCTTCCTCTTGTTCCCGTCTTTGCTGGCTCTCCCCCACTCTCTGCACAGCCTGTTCCACGAGCACATGTCCGTCGCTGCCACCCCCGCCAGCTTCTCCCCCCCCCGCTCCTTCTGTCTCTCTCTCGTTTCCCTTCATACAACCTGTTTTCTCTCATATTCACGTTGCCAGGAGGGAGAAGGGGGCTTCAGTAGATCTCTAGCTGGTGGCTACAGGTGGTGTTTTCTTTCCAGGGTCCTGGCTACAGGCTACAAGGGGCCACTGGGTGTCACGGGGCTCCCCTGTAGGGGGCGCTGTGGCCAAGTCTCATGGCCGGAGCATCCTTCAGAGCAGCCGCCATGCTAATCCTGCATGTGCAGCCCCCTGACAGGGCAAATGAGGCCATTTCAGCTCCTGAAAACAGCAAGGAGGTGAAGGCAGGAGCCCTTCCCCCTCTGCTGTGGTCCCGCTCTAAATCAGGCCTCTGCTGCACTTTGACACAGGAGCTGCAGATGTGTGGCAAACTCACATCAAGTATAATGTGTAGTTTGGCCCAGGAGTCCAGCTGCATCCAAACACCCCACAGTAGAGTCACATGGGCAGACCTTGCACAAGGAGGACGTGAGCGGATAAAGGGCATGGGCTGAGGTCTGGTGTGTGGAGAAGCAGTACGGTTTGGTGTAGTGGTTAAGAGTAGCAGAGTCTAATCTGGAGGACCGGGTTTGA